ACCATGCCAGATTATTTGCTGACTTTGATAATGTGAAAAAGAATATTTTGACACAGACATTTTTGAACAGTCAACACGAGATGGACATAGTCAAGCAGGACTGAGATGCACAATAATTATTATAAATGGGTAAGATTGGTTAAAACCAAACAAAACACATTGCCATCGTCAATTAGATCATTTCTGAATGAGCAGGAGATCACTCAAGTTGTGATTAAACTGTGATACACATCCATATGTACAACACTTCAGTCAGGCATCAGTTGTAGCTATATAAAGGTTTCTGACTACTTTACTTTATATTTTATTTTATACCTCAATAGATACATTAAGATGGAATTGGACATGAGAAGACTCACAGGACAAACTATTTATTTTTTCATTTAGTTAGCTATTTGTTTCTTTATCTATTTCAGAAGAGACACACACACACACACACACACACACGTTGACTTCTTCTCACCGGAGCTCCTCTTCGTCACTGTGACGCATCAGCTGCACCTGAGAGGTAACTTCTCTGCTCTTCATCATCACCTGTTGAATTTATTCCGTTAGAAACATCACCAGTGAGCTGCGTGTGATATAAATAGTTGGAAAGTCTCTGTGAAGCCTCCGACATGAGCCAACTACAGTATTTACTCCATGAGCTGCTTTTTAAAACACGTGGAAAACGGCTAATGCTAGCAGTTAGCCAGTTGATTGGCTAGAGTAGAGATGCTAAGCTAAAGGCCTCATTTGTCCCCATAACGTCACTGGTGTGTCAGACTAAGGTTCTGCTGCATCTCACGCCCGAAGTTTGATAAAAAAAATTAAACTTTACATTTAATTGTGCACTGTATTGGTGTTTAAATTTGATTTACACCACTGTGGTGTTGTGAATCTGATATAGCTTGGGGCTAATCGTATGCTGTGTAGTAGAGAGGTCATTCAAGGGCTGGGCGATATGATAATAATAATCATCACAAAACAGATGTGAGCAACAAGACACAAGATTTGAAAACATATTAATATAATGTGTGTGTACTGTGTGAGCACAGTGAAGAGGTGAAACACAGTAGATCTGGTTCAGATGTGTAAAATGTTTTACTGTTTGTCATTGTCTGCTACTAAAGAAGAGTTTAAAATCACCATCCTCTCTGGAGCAAAAATCAGCCTTGGAACTTGAAAGAAATGATGTGACATTTATTGTGATAATTATCGATATCAACTGACATTCAGTTCTTTATTCTTACATACTTGTTGGGCATATCTCTCAGCCCTGTGTCGTTCCATGACAGAGAAATCTGGCATGCTGATTTGGTCATATGAGTATGGAACCAAAAATGTCTCCAATTATTGAAACTGGTGAAAGTGAGCTTATAATGTCATCAAGACCTCCAGAAGGTTTCATCACATCACTAACTCCTCACAATGTGGTTGAACAGCAGATAGTCATCAGTGCATGGTCAGGCACATGTAAATTAACAAAGTGTCCCAGGCCTCTAGGTAGTTCGCTCAAAGAAATATAACATGGGTGGAATCCAGATTTTTAAGGTATGAAATTACACATGCGATTTGGGTTCCATGGCTCTCTTATGTAGCCAAATCAACACGTCAACTTTCATCAATATCTGTGGTGGTGTGGACCAAAAGTATGATGATTTGACACCAAATGACCCTGTAGCCATGGTCAGTTAATGAAAATGGTGTATTAAGGCAGCACATGACCAGAACACTATTTAGGGATTTGGAAATAAAGCAGGACCCCCTTGAAGCACTCATCTTGTCAGTTGATATTGTGCATTCATAGAGCATATGCCCAGACCAAATCAGTTAATTTAGTTACAACAAAGCCATGGCCAAACATTGGACATGGAGTTTTATGTCCATGACGATAAGGAGGCTGTCAGCTGCTGTGCACAGTTAGTACCTCTATGAATATAGTAATGATAATAACTTGATCTGAGAAGCTTGCTTTAACAAAGGACACAACCGACTGGAATAAATTATGCAGTAAAAAAATAGTAGAAAGTATAAATGAAATCATATATAATGTGAAAATATATAACAATAATTAATTGTTGATCAACAAAAGTTAGAGATTGTGAACGAAGTAACAACAACAATGTTCTTATCTACTTTTTTGCAGAAAATTCCACAGATATCATATATTAATTGAGTAAATACTGCATTTTCATCTTTTCATTTTTTCACCCTGTTGCTTGCAGGATTTGCTTCATGTTCATACAGAAGTGTTAATTAATTTCATTTTTATTTTTATATTTAATTAAGATCATAAACATGGACAGCAGCAGAAAGAAGTTGACGTTCAAGTGGCGACGAACAGCAGTCACCTCACCTGCACATCTTGAGAGGAGAGAAGCTGGCTCAGCCACACCATCGCGCTGGGATAAGTCACCAAATGAAGATTCAAACACTTCATCCCACAGTGAATCTCCAGGGTCTGAGGGCTTTAGAGATCTAAGTCTGGACACCCCCAAGAGAAAAGCAGAGTTGCTTGATAAAAGTGTTTCCTCTTTGGGAAAAGATAAACTGAGGAAGCTGTCCAGAAGAAATTATGAGACATTCACAACTTCAAAGGTAAATGTTAACTTGAACGTTTGCTCTGCTCATTGACTCCTATGTGCTTTCTCATGCATAATGTTCAGAAATGATGTGTTGATTTGTCCCGTCGCACATAAACCATCAGGAAAAACCTATGGACAACTCACCCAAGCACCTGAAATCCACAGACGACCAGCAGGTGTCCCCACCTCCATCACACTCATTTATCCTCAAGAAGAGAGAGAGGACATCTGAAGAGGGATCGAAGGCCATCTACAGGATGGCAATGTTAGCTGCTCTTGACGGCACAAATGCAAGACCTGGCAGCCCTTCTAACGTCCCGAAGACTGAAGCTTACTGCCTGTCTTTGCCACATGTTCCTTCACCAGTGAAGACTGAAGTGCAGAGTCCGGCATCACTTGACAGAACTGTCGTTGATATTAACTCCGCAAAATCTGAAGACATCAGTACTCTCCAAGAAGATCAGTGGTCCCCCCCTCAGATGTGTGAGGACACAGAACCCCCAGGTTACACCTCTGATCGGAAAACCGATGAACGGGTGAGTCATCTAACATCTGACAACTCTATTCTTGTAGTTTTGCTTTGTAGGTTTTGATCATTTAGTGATGAAACTATTCGTACTGAAGCCAGAACAGTCAGGATAATTATCCACTGAGGATTAAATGCGAAATGGAGAAGAGTTTTTTTCTCTCTTTAACAATGTGAGACAGGGCGATTTTTATTATTTTTTACATTTTCACTGAATTAATTCATGAAAAAAAATCTGGCATGTTTAAGAGACGTGTGTTTATAACTGTGTGCATTTTGATGCAGCTTGATTGAGTTGAAGGGGACTGATGAGCCTTAGCAGAAGGTATGGCTTTACTGCGTGCCACTCTAGTTTGTAATGTTTTGCACTATTTTGTTATGTTTCCCAGCGTGTTGTGCTGGAAGGAGAGGATTCACCTGGGAGGTCTGTTGCTCAGGACTCTGTGTTTGTCAAGATGACCTCTCAAGATACAGAAAATGAGCCAGAAGACGATTGTGAGTCGTCCCTTCCTACTCTGGAGTATATCCCAGATTCTTCGGGTTGTTTCATGACTCATCAGGAGGGCTCTTCTGAACACCAGAGTCCACCAGCATATCTTCAGGGATCTACTGCGTCCCCTTTCTCCTTAATGTCCACTCATGAAACCAGTGAAGCTACTGAGGACATGGAGACTTTCTCATTGCCACAGAGGACAGTTTTTATCTCCTCTAAGCAGCTGCAACCACCAAACACTGGCCCTTCAAAGGCGCCCAGAGTTGTGACTGAGACTTTCCGCTCCTGCAGCATGAATGAACCCTTTGCTTACTCAAGATCAACTACACGCAGGCAGTCAGACACTGGCTCTAACATTCATTACCCCCCCTACTCTTTTACTCATGGTGGCACTCCCAAGAGAAGATTTTCCCTGGGGGCAGAATCTGCGTGCACCAGTTCCCCCAACCTGGACAGTCAGGTTGGTTTCATAGACACACACTGCCATATAGACATGCTCTACGGAAAACTTGGCTTCCGCGGAGCGTTCAGCTGTTTTCGAAGGCTGTACCAGAGCAGCTTCCCTTCAGAGTACAGAGGCTGTATTGCCGACTTCTGCAACCCTCGGATCATGGTGAAAGAGGCCCTGTGGGAGGGTTTGCTGAATGAAGACATGGTATGGGGGGCCTTTGGGTGCCACCCACACTTTGCCAAGGAATACTCAAATGTCCATGAACGCAACATACTGATGGCTATGCGACATCCAAAAGCTGTGGCATTTGGTGAGATGGGGCTGGACTACTCGCACAAAAACTCAACTAATACCTCCAAGCAAAAAGAGGTGCGTACCAAACTAATCTAAATCATTTTGTCATCCACTAACAGTTTGTGTTGACCTAGTTAGGCATGTATTATCATTTTTCAAGTGCTCTGACCTGTATTGTTTAAAGGAATAAATATAATTTGTTGCTTTTTTTCTCTGCTTCTCTGAGAAGGTGTTTGAGCGTCAGCTGCGTTTGGCCGTGGCCATGAAGAAGCCGCTGGTGATCCACTGCAGAGACGCCGATGACGATCTACTGGTCATCATGAAGAAGTGTGTTCCTCGAGAATATAGAATTCACAGGTGTGTGCTGTGGAAGATAAACTTGTTATTCTCATTTTATTTTACATTAACTTCTGCATTAACATGAATTATGTTCTATTTACATTTATAATCCTCCCCCTTATAGAATCAAACCCCATTTTTGACATCATTTATTTGCACTTTTTCCTGCCACATCTAGGAATGTAATTTATTAATCTCCCTCTATGACTTAAAGTGTTGCACATTTAATCAGAGAATTTTCTCTCTTGCTTCATTGCGCTGTCTCCAGACACTGCTTCACAAACAGTTATCCAGTGATCGAGCCCTTCCTGACAGAGTTCCCCAACTTATACGTGGGCTTCACAGCCTTGATCACGTACTCCCGTGCCACCGCGGCCCGAGATGCTGCCCGCCAGATCCCTCTGGACCGCATTGTGTTGGAAACAGATGCGCCTTACTTCCTGCCAAGACAGGTCTGTCCAAAACACTACTTCAGTGTCATTCATAATAAGTAGGCTTTTCCCCAACTGTTAATATTGATAATAACTCTAAATTATTTAATTTCATTGAATTAAATCACATTGACTGTAATATTGATGTTTTGTGTTTTATATATTTATTTCAATTATTTGTTTCTCGTGCGATTAAAAACATATTGGGAATCTTTTTGTCATGAGATGCTACTAACTTAGAAATATTTATGCGTTAGTCTTGGTTTTAAGAAGGGACAGAGACAAGATATATTGATATATCTTTGTGATTATTGGCAATATCAACTGTTTGCCACCTATTAACCAAAAACTTCTGGATGACTTGAAACAACTGGTACATTTAAACCAGGGAGTAAATTATGATTGCATACATATGAGTGTGTTTCACTGTTAACAGGTAAGTAAAGATGTCTGTCGGTTTTCACATCCTGGAATGGGGATCCACACTCTGCAGGAGCTGAGCCTGTTGAAGGGAGAAGACGTGGCCACCGTTCTCTCCACAGTCCGAAACAACACCACTCAACTGTACGGAATCTGATCGTCAGAGACGATGGACCAGATAGAAATCAGCCACTCTGCAGCTGGTTTGTGACACATAAACATTTTTTATGTGGCTTTTTATTTAAGATTTATAAATCCTCTGTATAAAGAGGTGTTGGTGTGTGGAGTCTTAAAAAATTATATTTCACAAAATCAAATGCAAAAAATGACTGAACATGTCTGACAGAGACATTGTACATCGATTTAATTAATTAAATAATGTACATTATTGTTTGTCTGGTTATATTTTGTGGTTGCTCATTAGAGAAATTAATAAGTTCTAGTTTTAATTTGTGTTCTTGGTGTGTTAATCTGCCTTGTTGAAATGTAACTATGTTTGACTTGTGATCTGCTCTCTGTGTGGTCTGGTTTGTTGCAGTACAGATACATTAAAGGCCTTTAATCCTTAATTCTTTCATTGCATTTTATTTACGTACTCATTAACATGAGAGCACATGAAAATGTTCCCTTGGGCAAAGCTGATTTGTTATTGAAGAAAGGTAAGAGGAGGTGAGACTGGTCCATTAGCCTGCTTCAATTCCACAGTGTTCACCACTCACATTTGGTTTGAGTGCTTTTTATTTTGAGAATGACTCACCAGGGCCATCAGTGGATTAATGGTGTTAATGGCAGATGAATAGAGCTCTTGTGTATAGGGTTGCTCATAAAAGCAGTTTTAGCTCCTTTGCAGTTTTGAGGCCAGAGCACCCTTTATTCTCAGTTCAGATCAGTGATTATCAAAAGTGACAAGGTGCAACGCAGGATAGTCACGGGTGTCAGAACATTGTGTGTTGTTGTTGTTTGACCACCTTCCTGAGATTCAAGCAGGAAGGTTTGCAGACCTGTTCTGGGAGTAATTCAATGTTCTTTACAGTAATAAAAACAACAACATTAAACTAAGTCAACGAGAGAGTTTTCATTCAAAGATGCAGTTCAATTTGGAAGTGAATGAATGTTCTTTGTTTTTTCTCTCCAAATGCTGCGTAATACAAAGCTTTATCACAACATTAAGGACCTGGAAGCCGTTGTCAATTGTGTCTCCTGATTAAAAGGGAAAAACAAACCAATGTGTTCTTCCATCTCTTTCCAATTCCTCATTTCACTCATAATCTAGACCTGCTCAGAGACGAGACGGAGACAAAACTTCAACTGATGCTTTATTTTGACCACCACGTGTAAGTCTCTGAAGACAAGGACTTATTGTATGTTATATTCTGTACTACAGAGGGGGTGTAGTTCATCATATAGGTATGAATGAGTAATTATTCTGCTAGCACTGGGTTAGTTTTGAAAATAAAATGTCAGACGACCTAATAATGGAAGCTTATGTGAGACTTAAATCTCAGCGCTAAATTCATGAATGAGAACCATAGTTTGACAAAAAAATTCAAACGCAAGTTTCAAATTATAGATATTGAATTGATATTAACTTCTTTATTATTTTTAACACAACCATTTCTAACTGATAGTGACATTGAGATGTGGTTGAAAGCTCTGAAAATAAACATACTCATAGTTTCACTTGATGAATATGTCTCTAGTGTTAATTGTACAGATGAACTACCAACAGTGAGTAATAGTGTTTTAAATCTTTAAGCTTAAGGTTACTGACATGTTGACTCATATTTTAATGACCACTATCTAAGTAGAAATTGAAAGAAATAAAGCAGTAAATCTGCCAGTCGTGTCCATAATATTCAAAGTTAGGATGGCCTCTCTGAAAAAAAAGAGACAATAGTTTAAAATAACATTAAAAATGGTCAGATCATTATCTTACCATGCATTGGTCCAGGAAACACAACTACAGAGGGGGTTGTGTGTGTACCTGCCGTCTCCGTGTTTCCCAGCAGACGCTGAACGATCTCTTGCAGCAACACGCCATACTCCTCAAAGTCCTCTGGTGTCATGGTGATGCCAATTTCAAATGGGGCACTTACCTGCTTAAGACCATAAAGACACAGGGATGATGTTTGATGCTTTGCTGTTGTCACAAGTGTGTTATATTTTCCACTCACTGTGATGTGGTGGTCCTCGGTGTGTTGACTCTGCTCCTCTGTGATTTGGCGGCCGGGTCTGGGAGGTTTCCCCTTGTTCTGTGTTTGACCAACATACATATCTCATGATTGTAACCAATTCAGTTTCATGATAGTAGTTCAATTGCAAGGTTTTCTCATGTCTTGAATACACTGGAGAACACAATGCATGTATTTGAAATTATAGAAAATTATACCTGCATACTGACAAAATCCATTTTAGTCATAACACCATTCTCAGCAAAAATGTACTCAACAGATTACATTTTGAAACTTGCTGGAAATCAAAGATTGGATTCAGTGGCAGGAGTTTAGTTAAGTGTGGTACGTTGTAAGGCTGAAAACTGAATAAGTAAAATATAGATTTTTGAAACATCAGACAGTTTAAAACAAATGAATAAGTCCTTTATTATGGTATATTGAGTTATGTTGAAAGTTAAGCTCATGGGAGGATTCACGCCTCTATTTTTAACTGTTGTTTCATAATGAATCCCAGAAAGCATCTTACCGGCGGTTTGTGTGAAGGGCTGAGAAAACTGGAGCCTGCGCTGGTCGACTTACACCACAAGGTCAGAGAACCGAGTAGAAAAACCAGCAGCCTGGTGTTTCTTTTCAGAAACATGGTGGAACCAAAGTCTCCGCTGCGAAATGATGAAGCAACGTATAGCGTTAAAAGATTTCAAATCAAATCTGCTGCTCTAAATCTGACACTTGTAGTTCTGTTTATATAGCCTGACCTCCATCCCCTTTCATGCAGATTTAAAATGCATTAAACAGATATATCTAGGAAGCATTGGACTGTTCAAATGTTTGAATTGATAACAAAGTGGACATTTCTCTGTTGACCTGCTGATCATCATATCTATTCAGTTGGGTAATGAGGGTAATAGCATTGCAGTCACAGAGATCTAGTCTATTCTGCATGTGTACGAGAATATTACAGGACTTGTCTATTACTTAATGGACTGATAGACTGAACGAATCACCAATAGAGTTTGTTCTGAGTGAACACTGCAACTTATGTCAACACATCAATAAGCTGATGGGAAACATTTACATTTCTGAAATAAAAAGTGTAATTTTCAGTATTTTCTATTAAACAACACAAAGCTACAGCAGAACATGTTGACTGAAGCAGAACTTTGCAGTTCTCTTCTCAGCCCTCCTCAGTCACTGCGTCTGTTTGACCTGACGATGAGCTGCAAAATGTTTACATCTTTAGGTTTTAGATGTCAAATAGCTCCACTTTAATCTAAGACACAGTTTTAGTTTCAGAGCAGCTATTCAAACACGGTTTACATATGAATGACAAATAATTCCACATGGACCTGGATATAAATAATATTTATTGAAGGATTTGCTTTCAGTGGAAGTATCATCAGGTCGTTTATAACATATACCTTTATAAATCATTGTGATTAATTCATAATATCATAAAATTATAGGATGTTTCAAAATGTTTTAATTGTGTTTGAGTTGTCTCATGAGTACGGATTTAATATTAAAAGCCTTTAACAATCCGTTAGTACCACCTAATACCCAAGCAATGCATATACTGTGTAGATGTTGGTCTATGAAATATATAAACCTCAAACATTCATAATCTGGACAAAACAAAATAAGAAGGTGATTAAAACATTTGGAGGCAGAGGTGAAATTCTATCAGAGTAAATACTTACCATTTGAATTTCCACCAAGACATATAAGGGGGTGTCTGTGGTTCAGCGGGTTGTCCACGGACCAGATGTTTGGTGTTTTGATCCCTTGCTACGAACCATTTACCACACAGGTTTTCATTTGTGATGATGCAGGTCAGAGGATCTTAACTGGAACTGATGATGACCTTGATTTCATGCTGGAGGTAATAGTTGGAGACCTCCTGTGTGAGAGATGGAGGCTGATCCACTATGAGAAACAGAAACATTGAGTCTAGTGAGTCTTGGATTGTGCTGCTGTTTCCTCCTCAGGATTAACCATCTCAGAGAGACCGTGCTGTACTTACACCTGTGACGCCGCTAGTTGGCGCTTACACCACATTTCGCCTGCGGGAGGAACACCAACGAAGAAGTGAGAGTGCGGCTAGCAGTAGCCTGGGGACTGAGGAGGAACAGAAATCCTACAAATGGACAAAAAGAAGAAACCATTCGACGTGACGGCTTCTTCGGTGAGTTTCCTGCATTTACAATTTAAATGTTGGACCCGGTTCGGCTGTGTGACGTCAAATTATATCAACAGCTAACGCTAGCTAACCGGCTAAACTACTAGCAGCTACACATAGTTGTGTTAATAGCTCCATGTTGTTTTCTGCTTATATTCGGTGATGTTGTGTCTCTTACAGTTAGTGGACCTGAAAGCTGAACTGTACAGGAAGCAGGAACAATTCAAACAGGACAAACTCGGACAAGAAAATGCTGGAGCTGGATCTAAATCTAAATCCAAAGAGAAGGTACAGTGTGTGTGACATGTCTGACCGTTTACTGGCATGTTTAATCTCAGAGACAAAACACCAATCAGCACGTCTCCTCCTTATTCCTCTGTGTAGAAACCAAATGTCTGGAGCAAACAGAACCCTGGTGTTTCAGCGCGGGCTGAGAAAGATGCAGAGCAGCTGGACGAGGAGCAGAAAAGTCTTGATACGTCAAAGTGAGTTCGACACATTAACACAAGACTTACTGCCATGACACTGAGATGAGCGAAACCTCTCACTCCTCATCCCTGCTCTCGCTACAGGCGCAGGTTGGAGGAGAAGGCCAAACTCTACGAGCAAATGACCAAAGGAGACTTCCCAGGTTGGCGATGTTTAAATCAAACTCTTCTGATATTCGCCTGCATGACAGAATGTCCCCGTGCCATATTTAACTTGCTGTGTCTCATCATGTCAGATGAGGAGACAGAGGGTCTGTTCCTGGTCGATTTCACGCAGAAGATTATTGACAAAAAGAGAGAAACATTTGCACAGAGGGACATGTTGAAAGAGGAAGATGAAGAGAGAGACAGCTCGACACCTATACCTGCTCCTGGAAACCCAGATGAGGAATGGTAATGTCTTTATTTTTATGTAGTTTGTTTTTATTTTGCTTCAAATTATCTACGTCAATCTTATTAATGAAATCTCTGAAAAAGATTTCAAACCAGCAATACCTCAACAATTTCTGCTACAAATCCTTTTTAAAGTGTCAACAGCACAAATACTAATTACAAAACTACATTCATCATGAAAGCAAAAGTCTGGCTGCTTGTTAGGACACTGTTTTACTAATGTGTTGATTTTCTGTAGGGTGGACTTCGTCGATGCTTTGGGCCGATCTCGAAGATGCATGAAGAAAGACCTGCCAGATTTTAAGAAAATGGACCATAACCTAAAAGGAAAAGGGTAAATTAAGTATTCCACAAATTATTAACAGTTTTAAGTTGCAGGCAAACTTTTATTTACTTATAGGACTAGATTATGCATTCATTGCGGAATATTTGTGGAAATAATTATTCCATATAGGACAGCCTCATCTGAGAAGACTTTACTCTCAGAGGACATGCGCCGAGAGCTGCAGAGGCAGGAGTGGGAGAGGGAGGAAGAGGAGGCTATGAAGAGGCCTATTGGACCGATCCACTACGAGGATATCCGAGGACAAGGTTACTATCAAAACATTTCCAGAACCTTTCTGCATTTAGTTGAAATTAAGGGTTTTGATTTACAAGTCTGTGTGTTTGTTTATCTCAGAGGCACGAGAGCTTGGTGTTGGATACTTTGCGTTTTCTCAGGATAAAGAGCATCGCAGAAAGCAGAGAGACACTCTGGACATGCTCAGAGACCAGGTGAGCTCCTGATCTCCTGACACATACAGGGTTCTATTTTGCTGATCGTGGTCTGTATCACATAGCACAAGTTCACAAGTCCGATTCACTGTAGCTAGTTTAATGGCAAAGGGAGGTCACTGGTCGGTGCATTGTGCAAAAGCATTGTATGTAGTCTTTTAATTTAATCATGAGTGTGTTTAGCATTACCTGTAATAAACCCAGGCCCATCTCTCATTCCCCTAAAATCTAATTGTGCTTGTACTTTTTATTATAACGATCTTGATCTATATTGTTTTTATTTTGCATCTGTCCTGTTCTTCAGACAACAGAACAGCGTAGTAAAAGAGAACGACTGAAGGAGAAGAGACAGGCCATCCTGCAGGCCAGATTGGCCAAGGTAAGGCAGAGGAAGATGAAGAAGACCAAGCTTGATGGCACTGAAGAAGAAGACAGAGAGGAGGAGAAAGAAGGTAAGAATCCACCCTATGTAAGTCACATTATATACTATATATTAATAATCTCATCAATGAAATTAAAGGATTTGTGTAATTTTTTGTCCCAGCAGATGAAGATGATAGTGAATTGATCGGCTCCCCGCCTCTACCAGAGGACTATCCTGAGGTCAGTACTGTGAAGAGGGTGGAAGTTGAGATCCAGGAAAGGAAGGACACTAAACCAGGAGTTCCTCATGTCAGAGAGTGGGACAGAGGCAAAGGTAACAGCTATTACGTAAATGTCCATAACCCGAATGTTGGAACCAGGGGTGGATACAATTAGTCCATTTCTTGTACAAGATATGGTTACTCACCTGTCTTATACATTTGCACATGATCTAAATATTAACAGCTGTTTTGTTTGTTCTTGCAGAGTTTATGTTTAGCGAATGGAAAAGCCGGCGCCGGGATGAGCGAGAGTCAGACTTTGCTCCTCCCTCTGCATATTTCACTGATTGGAAAAAACAAGCCCCAGGAAAGAATAAAACTCAGGAGAATAAATCCAAAATGTCTTTCAAGTGGTCAAAGGGCCCTGGAGAAATCTCTGAGAGTAAAGAAAAACCACCTCAGCCTGAAACACCTCCTTCACCCCCCCAACCTCAACAAAAAGATCCATCTGCTTCTCCGCCACAGAACACGTCCCAGCCAACACCCTCACAGCCCCACGTTGTTTCAGCCCCTTTGTCTGCTCCTCATTTCAGTCCCCAGTGTCCACCTCCTCCATTTTATCCCCCATTTCCTCCTCCTCATCCTTCCCAGTTTGCAGGTCCACCTCACTTACCTCCTCACTATCCCTCCCAGTATCCACCCCAGTATCCTCCTCAATTTCCACCCCAGTATGTCCCCCAGTATCCACCTCAGCCGCAGAGCCAGTCTCAGCAGCCCCACGAGCCCTCACACCACAGCCAGGCTCAGCAGCCCCCTCAGGGTTCTTCTCAGAGTCTGGATGACATGTTGTCCTTCTACAGGAACTTTACCTGACCTGATGTTCACTGTGTAGTTGCCTCATGTAAGGATTTGTAATACTGCTGTTTAGTTTTAGGCCTCATGCAAGAACATGTTCTTTAAGAATATTGCAGCCTAGTTTTACGCTGTCGGATGCTAGAGGAGGATGCTAAACATCAACCTGCACAAAGGTCCTGTTATAGATATTTTTAATTGAATTAATTTTGGTATCATATGTAAAGTTCAAAATCATTCACTGGAATCTTTGAAATAAGATTGTTTAACCCTGTGATGACAGGTCAGTGTGTCTGTTCATGACAACATCTGGAGAACTTGTGAATGTTGTGAAGGCCCCAAATTTTCTTTAATCTCTCAAACCCCCAGTGTCACTTGAGAACTGGTCTGTTCACACAACCAAATCTTGCATTAGGCCCCATGCCTCAGCTCTTTGGAGTTTTTGCATTTAATAAATAACAGGAATTTAAATAACATTGTTTTTGTTTGTGTGTTTTTGTCACTGTAAAAACTTATGTGGATCTTTGTTTGTAAAGGTTTAGCATTTATATAGAAAGCTTTATGAAGTATTTGCATATAAGAGGGTTTGGAATGATGTGGTTTAAACTAGGGAAGTTTATTGAAACCTGAGCACTGAGTTGCAGTATGAAAATGTCCACCAGATGACACTGTACACCTTAATGTCAAGAAAACCTCTGATCAGACTGGCTTTGATCATCATTATCATGATGTGAACTTTAAGAGGGGGGGAATCATTCTAGAGCTGCAGCTCACTACCATGTTTATTATTGATGAACCTGCTGATTGTTTCCTCCATGAAATTATTCATTTTTATTTCTGAAAATGCCCAAAGAAAATACAAAGTTGTACATCACAGTTTCAGGATGATTATTATGATCACTGATGACCACAGTAAAGAGGCAGCTTCAAAACTGAGAAGCTGGAATGATGGATGTTTGGAATTTTCTCGTAAGGGCCGATTAATACCAAAATACTTAAGTCATCTGGTCAAGGACATTCTTTGATTACTCTATGAAGTTTAAATTTTTTTTCACACATATAAAACTAATATTGCCTCCCATTTCTCAAACTGTGTTTTTTCCTGACAGCTGTGAAAAGGCAGTGAAGATGTGAGTGCTTTTAGTTTCAGAAATGTCTGTTTCTGTGCAGTAGGTGCCAGGACACTGTTCTGCTAAAATTTAAGCCATTAGTAGCCTGAGGTGAACCTGGACTCTGCTGCTCCCTGGTGCCTGAACGGACACGTCCTTGTGTTCTGCATCGATCATCTCCTGCCTCTGTCCTGCAACACATCCCCAGTAAAAACAAGCCACGATGTTTCCTCCAGTCCCTGTGTATGGTGAGTCTCAAACAGTAACACTTTTCTATTCTAAAGATATGTTTGAATGTATCTATATTTTTCTGATACATGTGGTTTGCATTAGTTATTTGATGTTATAAAAACACATCAATCACTACTGTGCAGACTTTGGCTTAAAATGCACCTGATTGCAGCTTTCCTATCCGGGATATTTTAGCTTCATTTTTGGATGGTGGGAGGAAGTGGAGAGGCGTCGTCCATCTTTGGCTTTGGTGGAACCTCAATGTATATCACAGAAGCGAGGCTGCTAAAGTACAAAGAACAATATTTCTATGAGTAGATTACATTAGTGTACAGTACTGAAATGAGACACTGACATAGTCAGTCGTCTGACTCCAACCTTTAGCTTCATCCTGCTCCACAGGAACCATGTGATAAACCGGTAGTTTGATTTTATTACAGACGGTTTTCAACAATTTATCCACAGATCAGACATCAGATCACCTCTTCACCCTTTTCATTATGTGTTTGGTCTGATTTCTGCCTCGTGTTCCCCCCATCAGGCGGGAGAAGAGGTGGTTTGGCCCTTTGTGTGTTTAATGAATCTCCTGTATGAAGAGGTTGTTCTCTTCCTGGTGTTGTTGCATGTTGATCCCACTGTGACTTTAAACACTGTTTTTTCCCCTCTTTGTTCCTGCGGCCTGATGTTAGACCAGTGCACTCAGAGTGGAAGAGCCCAAAGCAAATAGCTTCTGCACAAGGACCTCCACCCCCTCTCTTGGTAAACGTGTGTGTGCGTATTGATGTACAGTACGTGTTTAAGTGTTATGTAGTATAATATTTTTATTGCAGAAATGAATTTTCTGCCTGATTGACTTTGCTGCCTGCGGAGATGAGATGATGATACAGTGACAGGAGCTCACACAGTGATGGTTTAAAGATGCTCTCAGATGAATACATAATGCAGCACAGACTGTAACACTCCTAACAATAAAGAAAACCCCTGTTTAATGAATTTAGCAGCAGAATAATTCAGCAGCCTGATTTGATTTATTTTAATTTTAGGCAGATGAGCCACTATAGTGATCACCTGACTTTTCCCTCCAGCCAGGCCCCTTTTACATTTGTGCGTTTGAACGCTGTATATCATGTCCTCACAGAAGTTGTTCTGACTTTGATGATCCTGTAACTTTTCTCTTTTTTTCATCATCCGGTGTAAATGTTTATTTTCTTGATACTTTGGCTTATGACCAAACATGATAAAAGACCAAAAATGGTGAACATTAAAAGCTGAGGGGGACAGAGCATTGGCTCGAGGTATTCAGATCAGCTGACTCAGTCATTTCTATCAAGTCCCTTCTTCAGAGAACCTTCAATTTTCTTTTAAATGTCTGTATAACTTTTATAAATATTGTCTTTATTTCTGCTGATTTTATGACTTCTTGGTTTTTATCACTGCCTTGTGAAGCACTCATCTCAATTTTGAAAAGTGCTCTATAAACAAATATTATTATAAACATACCCTCTAAACATTCAGCTTTTCTAGCAATAACATTACTGTAAACATGTGAGCCTGCTGATGTGAGCAGCTTCTAGTATACAGCCTCTGCTGGTAGCCACAAATTGTGACCGTATAGCATTTAGAATGGCTTTTTTAATATTGTGTAAATTTCTAACGGCACAAATAAACAACAGACCGGAGAAAAATGCACATCATCTCATTTTAATCAGATTTGCTGACTCACCACTGTGACGGGTCTAATCACGCATTAGTGATGGGAGGGTGTGTCTCATTGACAGGTATGCCCTCCTCTCTGGGATCCGCTCCACTGAGGAATTATCTCTGAATCGAGTCGGGCAGTTTAATCCTGCTGTCGTCAAGGAAACGGAAACTTGCTGTTTTCATAATATAAAATAAAATAAATGACCTTCAGCACATGGAAGCAGCTTCAGATCCAACGTGGTGGGATTTAGTGTACTTTACTTATATTATTTGTTGTTTACCCAGCAGTTATGCTGGCACTGCTCAACCTATACTGTCGTATACAGTGTGCTTCATCTAGGTGTTGGTTTATTATTGATATTTCTCATAGTGCAGCCATACAGCTGCGGCAGCACGAGGGCTAATGCAGCTTTTATGAGTAAGGTTGAGTTGAATCCTTTAGACCTGACCTGAAAATCAATGTTGTCTTTATGTCACTGCAGGTCCCTGATCCGGGGGGGGGTGGAACAGAAGGAGAACATTAAATGGCGATGAGCTGCTTTGTCTCTTCCTCCTGCTCTCAAAGTGAAACTTCAGACATGGTAAGATCACATGAATCCCTTCACAACCTGCTGTGTTTAGATGAGCTGCAGTTACTAAGGGGTCAGGTTTGTGCTTGTTCTATCCTGGGTTGTGTCTTGTTCCAATCCTCATCCATCACAGTTCAATTTGACAAAACTAATGCTGCTGCAGTGAGACGCTGAGATCAACAAGTTGTTCAAACTCCACACATGTTGTCTCAAACATATGAACAATCATACACTACATGCAGTTTCGGTATTTCCAAAGTGAAGTGGCACTCAGTAGAGCATATATCTCAGCCAAGGCCCAAAACATTAAAATTCACTAGATCCAGATTTCTATTTGGATCTGCACCAAAATCCATACACTCAGAAATATTAGTTCTCTAAGATCCATGAATTATTCTCTGAGAAATCAACGAAAATGTTAAAAAAATCACCTCACCCAAATGATCCACATCCCCTATCAAATGTAATGGGTTCTTCCTTGGGTAATCCCCCACCCTTTCAAAAAAAACTAATGGAAATCAGATGAGGAATATTTGCGTAATCCTGCTAACAAATAAATTAACCCAGATGATATACATAACCATCCTTGGCTGAAGTAACTATTTAAGAATTACCTGGATCATCTGAGATGCAACAATGAGGTTAATCAAATTAAATAACTGACGCTTGATTTACTTTCTTAAAATGTTTGACTCTGCACGAACAGAAACTGCCAAACAACATCTCTTGTTTGTTTGTCTGAACAAAACCCAAAGTCTATAGAAACCAGGGGGTTATGTACCTGACTATTTCCTCGCTTGGAGCACTAACTTCCTACAGTTTCTTTGCTTTGCTTGTACTGAAACATCACACAGGTCTTACAGAGAATCTCCTCACAATTTACCGCTGGCTCTGCTCCAGTGGGGCTCAGATGTGGTGCGAGTGAGCTCAGACAACACATTCATCTGGAAGAGGTTTTTAATCCTCGGAGCGGTTTTATGATGCGGAGCTTCAATGACCCAACAGGGGACTGAACTCACAAACTGGGAGCGAGAATCAAACTCGTAAATTGTCAAACCCAGGGCGGATGGTACAAGTAGAAGTTCACTGAGCTGGATGAAGCTTTGAGATTGGAGGGTTTAGTCAACAGAAGACCAGTGCAATTTTAGACGGCAGCTATAGAGACAAAAAAGTGCCTGAAGAGACAGCGTTTTAAACCTTTATGATCACTTTAAGATTCTTCTTTAAATTACCGACATTAACATTAAAGAAACTGAAGCGTGTAAAGATAATAGGTCATTAGAGATAATAGGTCATTAAGACTCCATCAGTAAAATCTACCATATTGAGGCAACAGATAAATTTAGAAAACTAGAAGGCAAGGTTAGGATAATGAGAACTTTGTGAAAACAATGAAGTAATAATACAGACTGAAAGAGAGACAGCAGTTTTCATTTTAAGTCTAAATGATAGAAATAAAGATGTCCGGACGGACTGTGTCAAACTTCTGACGATGGGAGAAATTAAGGAGGACCCTCACACATGTGACTGCTGCTACGACTTACGTAAACTTACCAAACAGGAAATGCAGCATGAAACTAGAATAGCACTGAGTAGAGCAAGTCTGCCAAGGCTTAACTGTCCCTTTACATTTAATTAAGCTTTATAGCTAAACCCACAAAACAATGTAGGTGTTGAAATCATAATCTCCATTGTGGAAGAAAAATGATGGTTCTGTTTGTTGAAATCAGTTCAGTCATTTTTTATTGACAAACCAACAAACGGGTGAAAACACAACTTCCCTGGTGGAGGTAATGATGCACTGATTAGTGGTGATGAGGACTATTTATTCTGTATATTCACTTGCATCATATTTCACAATTCAGTCTGTT